AACTCCATCTGCATATAATAAGTATATTATAATTTAATATATAATTAATTTTAGTGAAATTTGAATTAAAATATTTTTAATAAGTATTTTTCAAGATAAAAAATATTAAATTGGAACATCATTTTCTAAAACTTTTACAAATCTTTGGTCTTCTTTACATCATCTTTCTCAATTCTCATCAACAATATTATACTATTATGTTATAAAATAAAAATAAATGACCTTAAATTCTCATCATAATAATAAGAAACAAAACTTTTAGGCGTCATTTGGGATAATCTTTTTATTATTTTCTAAAACAAAATTTTAGTATTAAATTTTTTAAATAAAAAATTTTTATGCTAAAAATTTATTTTCAAAAATAGTAAAAAAAAATATTCCAAACAAAATCTTAATCAAAAGCAACATAGCTTTGTAATAATTAAAATTTATAATAATATATGAGCCAAATTTTTTTCCAAATATTAGTGCTTCTCCCTAGCTAAAAATTTGATTTTGCTAAAGAGTAATGGTGATCAAATGTCACCAATATCAAGTATAAATTATTATTAAAGCTGCTCTCCATAGTCTAAGGTTAATTATAGCTAAATAAATTATAAATGAATTATTACATTTCTTTGAAAAAAAAAAGTCATTGTTCAAAAAGCATTAATTTCTCTACATTTTATATCTTAACTTTTTTAAAAGTAAATTAACACAATATAGTAAATGATTCATATCATCATTGTTCAATAAATTTTACACTAGCTATCGACTACCTAACACAGCCCTCCATTTTTTGAGAAATTATTAGGTGCGGACACTGGACCGTCCGGAGATGAATCAGAATGTGCCACGTCACTGGATACACAACAGTACCTAGCCGCAATACACAGCAAACAGGTGACATGACACATTTTGATTTGCCTCCAGACGGTGTTAGTATCCACACAGAATAATTTCACCTATTTTTATTATTGAGAGCTTGATACCCGACAACAATATTAAGGGATACAATGCAAGGATTTCATAGGAGGTCGATCACACTAGTACTACTCATGCTTAACTAAGAAGTTCTGATGAGATCCAATGCACTAGTGCTAATATAATCGCACCTACGTAGGTAGATAAAAACATGATATTATTGTTGTATGAGTAAAACAACATAGTATATATCATAAAATAACACTAAAACAAGTTCAACCCATAAATCATATATATATATATATATAGAGAGAGAGAGAGAGAGAGAGAGAGATTCATAAAACTTCAAAATGTTGTGATTCTACTAATGAAACGGCTAGACTCAGCTTGAGATAACATAATTTATCTCTTCCAATAGAATAACTACATGAATTAGATAAAATAATTCAAAGGAAGAACAGCTTGCAATAAATAAATAAATAAATAAAATTTCACCAAAATATTCTCTTACTCAGAATAGACTTCAAAATATTTAAATTTATACTGAGATGAATTCTGCACACGGCATTCCTAAATTACACTAATCTCAATATAAATTTAAAGATTTTAAAATCCATTCTGATATATTTCGTATTAAGATATCCTCATAGAGACGCAAAAAAGACCAAGCAAAAGATGAAAGAAAATCAAAATTATGAACTTCTAAAATGATCCAATGTGTTAATAATTGACAAATTGTGGCTTTGTGAAGAAAAAGACTTGGTCCAATATGGTTGCTTAAAGAATAATTGGTCCAAAAATTTTGGCAGAAAATAAAGGTTTACTGTGCATTGAATATTTGAAAATTTCATAAAGTTTTCATCAACAAACTTATACTAATAGCCATATAGCAGACAAGTGGAAGCAGCAATTCTCATGCTGTACAGCATATGGCAAATACTACAAATCATATCAATACAGCCAAAGAACAAAACATCACAGATGTCTGAAGATAAAACAAAAATTTCTGTTTAGTTGGAGAAATTATTCTGTACGGACACCAGATTATTCAGAGATGAATGAGAGAACACCACGTCACCCAGTACATAGCACCGATACACAGCAAAAAAGTGATGGGCGCGCTCTCATTCGTCTCCGAACGTCATCCGGTATCCGCACAGAATAATTAATCCTTTGGTTGGGGTATCTCCTAAATCAAATAGGAAATAGGAAAAAGGAAAAGAGGCTTTACATTATGCAAAGAGAAATTCTCTTTCATTCTTCTTTTCCATTTTGCTGGGAAGAAACATAATTGCGGATTACCTCCATGGCTAGCTGGTGAGCAGATTTGCTCTGAATCTGGGCAAGCTCCTCCATTGCTTCATATGTTTGTCGGTCGGCAAAAATTTTGAGATTGTGTTTTGTAGGAGACTTTATAACACCATCCCACTTATTGACCATCTCTTGCAACTTATCAAAGCCCTATAGAACAAAAGCTTGGTTTGATTGCCTTGTGAATGTTGGATTGCAATCAGATTGTAAACAAAATTTATGATAAATTCGGCTATATTTGTGAGTTTGCCAATTGCATTATCAGTAAGTTTAAAGTATGCAAGGTCCAGAGTTAGCTCATGCATGCTTTAGATGAAAAAGGTTAAAAGATTCAACTCATTTCTAGCAAAATGGAAATGTAGTACAGAGTTTTGCACACCACTCCATTACATGAAAATGGAAATCATGGAAACAAAGCTCATGTACATGGAATATCAAACACTAGTTAACAAGCCAAAATGGTTTTACTGAACCAAAGGTAACACCAAATTTCAATAGAAGCATAAAAATCTCAAACTTAGCAGCATGCGGCAAATCAAGTTGGTGGAGAGAGAATTGCTTTTGATTGTCATAACTTTTTATTTCTTGGCTTACTAAACTTTTTAATACTATTTTGAAGTCTAAAAAGATGACATATGAGTGAAGAATGAGTGTGTTGATTCATATTTTTAAGAATAAAGGTGATATACAAGATTGTGCAAATTATAGAGGAATTAAGTTAATGTGCCATACTTTAAAACTATGGGAGCGAGTCATGGAGCGTAGGTTGCAGCGTGATACTAATGTTTCTCAAAATCAATTTGGATTCATGCTTGGTAGGTCTACTTTGAAAGCCATATATTTATTGAGAGGTTTGATGGAGAAATATATAGAGAAAAGGAGGATCTACATATGATATTTATTGATTTAGATAAAGCATATGATAAAGTTCCAAGAGAAGTGCTATGGAGAGTTCTTGAAAAGAAAGGAGTTAATAATGTTTCTATTCAAACAATTAAAGATATGTATGCAGAAGCTATTACTTGTGTTCAAACATAAGGTGGTATGACAAAATATTACTCTGAGTTGATCCCTACTTATGGTCAACGATGAGATATCTAATTCCTTTGATAGAAATAAAGAAAGTCCGCACAACTATACCGACATTGTGCCGCTTCAATAATTTTACTTGTCTAATTCTATAAATGATTTGATGGAAATAATGTAGCATAGTCTGGTTTTGGACATAATTTGCACACATATTGTCCTCTTAGTCATGTATTGAATTCTTTAGTGGGTATAATGTGACTAACTGGGATTTGAGCACACTCTATTGTACCCATTTGTGTTGCTAGTTTCAAGAAAAGTAAAGAATCCTTATGAAGGATAACAGCTCTAGAATATCAAATATATTTTTGTAGATATTGCAGGTGATGTTAACATGAAAGTTCTGATAGTAAACTTCGTCTTAAGAAGTGAAACAACCGTAAAATCACTCGTTTGAGGACAAAAGAAATAATAATGATGAGTGATATCATCTATGAATGCAGGCATAGAGATATAAATATTTCTGGCCAATCAAAGAGCTCTGCAAAATGAAGTATATCAATTCTTTTGTATAGTAGAGTCTACAACCATGTAAATAAAATATTTTTTACATATCAAAATGTCAAATAAATGAATTTGCGTATGTACCTTAAAAAAGGCCATGAATATAGTATTTAAATGTGTCTTACATGGAATCAGAAGACCTGAAGTTTTTATGAACTTATTATGCATTTCTCCAATGACATTTTAAAAAACAGTATTAAAATGCTGACTAACAATTTCTCTTGTTTGTTGAAAGTAGAAGTGAATAACACGATTACACATGCTATGACTAAGTGTATGGACTAACACAACAATTTGTTCTTCAATGCCCACATTAATCATATCCGCAAACAATCCGCAAACATCTCTCCACTTTCAGAGATTTAACACAGATAAAAATAAAAACAAAATATAGCCAACAAATGTATGCATCTCATTGTGTGCTCCGTTCAAGATTAAGATTTTGTATTCATTAAAAGAAACAAAAAAGTTATCACATCATAACTAACTGCATGCATTTCATTGCTACTCAACTTTTTTGTCACCGCAAAATTCATCCCAATCAAAAGATTGTTCTTGAATATTATGTGAATGGTCATCTATGTAGATTCTTCTGGTTTAGTACCTCTATGTTATTTTAAGAAAAAAAAGTGAAGTTTAATCGAATCCATGTTCTATATATCTTGGGATTCTTAAATGAGCACTTATTTTGAAGTAATCTGAACCTATGATTATACTGAGAAAAATAAATTGATGTTATACTCAATGTGCCGTTCTTAACTAGAAATGGTCCTCCACTTTGGGTTGGGTAGTTAGATTTATGATCCCGATTTTCACCAAAAAAATAAAAGAAAAAAAAAATTTGCTATCCCTTCTAAGTTTAGCATTAAAAAAAATTATCTTTTTTTCTATTTAGTTGAATGCTAATGATATTCTTCTTGTTGATAAAACTAGAGAGGGAGTTAAAGGAAAACTTAAATTATGGAGGTCAAACTTAAAGTCTAAAGGTTGAGCAGATATAAAACCAAATACACAGAGTGTAATTGATGCAGAACTACGTATGAATGCAGTCAATTCATTAGGAATTTGCGCAACTCTTGATTAGAATAAAATGAAGAAACTAATAGCAGCTCAAACAACTAAATAAAACGAATAAGGGGGTCACACCTGCTTAGGTTAAATCACATAACCAGATATTTGAGGCTTTCAAAATAAAACAGAAAATAATATTATGCCAAATAGTAGTTTCAAATAAAATCCATAATCTAACAACGAGAGTTAATAAGCATAGAGGCACGCTCAAGACCCTACGTTTACTAAGCTTAGCATGAGCAAGGAGAATCGTACTTCTTGACTACAATCAAGCACAAGATAAAGTTAGATTTAAGAAATATATTGAAAGGGAAAAAAAGAACCTTTGTCACGGTTCGGTGGAGATCCTCCACATGATGCCTTCAAACTGTTCTTCGATTGCTTCCACCAACGTGTTCAGAATACGCTCAATATAATCTTCGACGGTGTGATCGATCCTTGTATTAACGTCAAAGAAGGTTGATTGAAGAATGTCGACGAAACCGTCCTCGTCGTAGGTTAGGCCGTAGTCATTCTCCGGATCCGCCATTCATAGATGCTAGTTGGCAAGTCCTCCAAGGATTATTAGCACCCTTGATTAATGGGGAGAGAAAGAAGTTTCTCTCCAATAGAAAATCGGGAAGGGGCTAAGAAAAAGTTCCTTTCCCAAAATCTGAAATTAAATTTCAGTTTTTAGAAAATCAAGGATGAGAATTCTAGGGGGAGAATCCAATCCTTAAATTCCGGTGGCGAATTAAGTGGAGAGAGAGAGAGAGAGAGAGAGAGAGAGAGAGAGAGAGAGGGGCGGCTATGGAGAGAGAGGGCTTCAATTTGATTCCAAGATTGGAGAGCCTTCTTTGGAAATCAAACTAAATAAAGGTTCAGTAAATTTCGGCTAGGGAGCATGTGGAAGTGATTTAAATTTATTTCCAAGAGGAGTTAGAGGAGGTTTAGGAAATAAATTCCCAAAATTCCCCTATAGGGGCCGGCGGCATGATGGAGTAAAGGGCCAATTAATGAGTGCAATTAAGGTTTCTTAATTTAGGTTTTGGACTTAGGAAAGATTTATTTTAAATCCAATTGAATTTAAATTTCAAATTAGATCCTAAATAAATACTTTCCTAAAATAGAGGAGTTATATGAGGAAGGATTTTGAATTCAAAATTCAATTGAGTTGAAATTCAAATTATCCTAAATTAACTCACAACCCAATTGGGAAACTCAAGAGTGAAAGGGGGTTGTGGGCTCCGAAAATTCGGCCCCGGCCTCCTCTGCCGCGCTATTTCTTTTTATTTCGGCGAGGGAGTTTTAACGAACTAAGTTCTGGGGTAAATTTTGGAAGGCAGATGAGTTTGTAGATAAGACACTACCCAGAGATTTCGCCCTCATTTTGTGAGAACTTTATGATCTGAGTTCTGGTTTCCTATAGGCGCAAGCCCCTATAGTTAATT